GATGACTTTTTAGTATCTCACCGTCAACATGTTCTGAACACCTTTCACATTCAAGGCAATTCAGCGCTTGATACATATATAAATATCCAATGGATGTGATTACCTCTTTTTTTAACAGCCCTTCGTAAATGCACTGCTGGTTCAAGGCATCCTCACACTCCGTGGTTGTTTATGGGAGGTGGGGGGGTGTTTGAACGTACTTCACCACCCTGGTCAATGTGAGTCGGTGAAGGGATGCCACATACGTTGGCTGCGGGCCGAGACTAACTGGGGTCACCGGGTTCATCGCGCTGACAAACCGCGCTGCTGCTACCCCAAGCTGCCCCGGCCTAAAGAGACACTTTCCACTCAACGGTTTGGTTTGCTGGGTACTCCGTATTTCTTGCCGATAATTTCAAGGCGAAAAGCTCCCGCGAAGAGGTTGGTATGGCATGCGTAATGCTCCCCCACCGTGGACACCGCGGACTAACACGACTTTCGATCGAAAGATCTACGTTCGAGTAGAGCATTGCTTTGCAGCGCCTGCTGTGCACTCACGAATCTAATATCGCTTAATGTCGGCTACATCCCCCCCCCCCCCCTTCTTAAGACCACACATATCAATCCACGGTGATTTAATGCAATACAACTAAACAAAACAGATTCTTTACTTAGCGTCCTCGCATATTGGAGGAAATCGTCCCCGGGGGTAAATCTCTAATTGGGGGAGCAATATCGCTGTGCTGCGCCCCGCTAAAAAAAAAACAACTTCTCATCTTTCACGTGCCTGCCACAACATCAAAATCGTTGCTCGATGCAGTCGTGACAGCATCAAACAACGAGCAATTACGAGCACGGTCGGCGGAAAACACACAGCGCACTCACGCGCAAACTCACTGCCGACGCAGCACCGTCCGCTGTTGACACCCCGAGGTGTTTTTTTTAACTAAGTCAATCATTTTTCTCATTTCCACGGATTGGAATGCCATTTCAACGCTGTACGCAGCGAACTAATATGAAGCTGAATTGAACGCAAAGACGCGTTTTACGATGCCATTGCGAGCGGACCACGGTGGGCTATGGGCTGATTAGAATGCAGAACCGTGGCCATAAAGGGAACGACTCTCTCTCTCCGGCAAATGTAATTCGCTGCAACTAATTGCCAACACCTGTGACATCTCGTGTGCGAACAGGTGTAGGCGATGATGGCATGGGCGGTGGTGGGTTCATGAGACGCACGGGGGGGGGGGGGGGTACCTCAATTTGTATCCTCGCCGTTGTCATCTCAACGACGGCGCTGGCCATTCCAACAAATGACACCACACCGTGTGTGTGTATATATTTTTTCGCTTAAAAAAAACGCGGCGCGAGATTTCATGCGATGTACAGTCGGGTTCCAGAAGAATTGTGACGGTGGATTGACCAGGAAAGGTGTGACTCGCTAAGCCTCAATCGCCACGTTCTCCTGCAGCCAATGAATTGGTCGAAACTGCATTTCGCATAACCAAGTGCCTCTAGCGACAGGATGGGAGGGGGGGGGTCATTGGCCTTAACCGAGCGGTTAAGGCCAATCGCTTATTTAGTCACTATTTTCCGACTTAGTAATTGTTATTGCAGAGTGTGACAACTAAAGGTGATGTAATATGAACTTGCACGCCGCTCGCTTCAATCAACTACTCTTATCGCTAAGGTTATTGTGATGATGATCATTATTATTTTGACTGTGCCTGCGAATTGTAAAAGGGGAATCTTGCTGTCGTGGCCACTCCACACATCGCCTGCATGTGTAGCCCACACGCGCAAAAACAAACCATCGAGCAACACTGGAAGGACACACGCGATGCAGGAACCTGCCACACCCGGTGGGCCACGCAATGTCCCCACGAAGCATTGTGGGTATTAATTCCCCATCATATACACAATGTACAAATGTCCCGTGCCAGTATGTTTAATGGAGATTATACACCGCTATGCAAATGGTTAAGGTGAGCGATGGTGCATTAACGAGATGGTAAACCACCGACCAAGCTATGCAACGGGCTGCGTCGTGAAGCCCAGCTGTGTTTGTAATTCTGTAACTGAGCATTAACAATATTCACTGCCACCAGGGCAGACTGCTGGGACATCGGTGTGCCACACTCGAGGGCCTGACGTGCTCTCAAAATATAGCGACAAATCCCTCGTCTGCTACAGCAGCAGCAGCAGCAGTTATGTCGGAATCATGAACACATCAACGCCGCACCGCATTGAATATGCACGCTAAATAGACACGCCACTCAGGTTGGATCTTAAACGCGCACCACCATTTCTCGACATTCAAAGGAAACACGAGATGTCCTTCAACAACAAATACACCTCTTGCTTTCCACACAACAGGGCCATAAAACTGAACGCTTGTACATAGCCTACAAGCGGTGTGCGGGCTATTTTAGGGACACTGCTCATGGAAGTAAAGTTTACTTGTGGTTTCGTTGCAGAGTCTAAGAGCCACGTCATGAGCAGGGATATTATATCACGTGTGAATTGTAACATACATCCGGTGCATAACATAAATTGTGTGTAGTTGCGTGCACTTTATAATGTTGCCTATTCAGTGTACATCGCTGGATTTATTACAATGACGGCATTGGGTGGTGTTAGGTGCTGGCAGACCAAATCTGGGGTTCACTACATCACTATAGACAACAATAGTCCAGGTAGTTGCACTGTACGTGTTCTGTGTGTCAATATTAAAGCACATACGTTAAGATCACCTCCGTGTTTATGACAACTAAAAGCAAACTTTATTCAAGTGCAGTGACAGCACACATTTCATACCAACTTTTTATAGCCTTGCACGTCACACTCCACCTGCAGGCGAATTACTCTGTCCACGGATGATGGGAATGCCATTAGTGCGTTTAGCGCGAGACTCGGGAGAAACGTGCAACCTCGGGATGAACCGTTGCCCCCCAAACCCCCCTTTAAATGAGTGACAACCAATCGTCAAAGCGCACGGGTATACTTCTGTGGCCCACATTTAAAATAAAAAATTCAAGGATACCGCCAGCCGTAAAGAATCGACTACCGCTATATGTGAGCGCCACGTGTCCGCCTCCATGGCGTTTCGAGGAACGCCCAGGGCACGTCCGCGTGCATTAGGTGAGCTGGTATAATAATTGCGTGTGTACATCGCAAATATTGTACAAGGGGAAGGGAAGGGTCACAACAGATTCCCGTCATCTCTTCGTCTTTCCCAGTGTGCGCAAGTGTGCGTGTGTGACTACAGCAGAATTGCTGCCCCAGTGAACTTACACAATGAATCACAAGTTAATTAAACAAAACAAGACCAGGCTGGTCTTAATAATTACAACTGAGAGGGAATAAAAAGGTCGACATTCCGGTCAACTGTCCAACTTACATACGTGTGTGGCTACGTGTGTGTGTGTCTGTGATTGTACAGTAAGACCACACACGTGTATGGCTATGTGTGTCTGTGATTGTGTGTAAGATAACATACGTGTATAGCTACGTGTGTGAAAGACAACATACATGTATGGTTATGTATGTGTCTGTGACTGTGTAAGACAACATACGTGTATGGCTACGTGTGTGTGTGTAATACAACACACATACGTGTGATTGTGTGCGAGACGCGTGACAACTACGTGAGTGATTTACTGTGTCACAACGAGCCGTCTGTGTAACTATGCGCCCGACTGATACGCACGTGTGTGTGTGTCTTTGTGCGACTGTGTTGGGGAGCGGTAGTGTTGTGGTTAGCGCACTACGCTCCGAACCCGGCGACCCGATGTCGATTCCCTCTCACGGCCAACATCAGTGACGAATATCTGAACCGGTCCTGCGCTTCCCCTACATATACTCAGCCTTAAATAAGGGCCCTGGTGCGGTGGGTAAGCTTTCAGCATTGGGGAGACAAAGGCGGCCGGGAATGGTGCCGGCCACGACGGCATTCATATGTGCTGGCTCACAGCACTTGCCCTGAAAGCTATCTACAGACTATACGGGTGATATTATATTCTTGGTTCTGTTCGGTAAAGTCACGTTGAAGGGAAACAATAAAATATTTATAAAACAATAAAATTCTCACGACGTTTCGACTGCAACACAAGCAGTCATCATCAGGTGTGAAAACCAACGGCAAGAACATTTGAAAGAAGTCAAATCAAAATTCATACGGGTGATCTTTGCTTTTTGTTTGTGTAACTATGTGTGTGACTAACACGTGAGTGTGATAGGACATGCGTGTGCTGTTTGTGTGACTGTGTGTGCGTGTGACTGTGTGTGTGTGACTGTGTGTGCGTGTGCTGTGTGTGAGTGTGACTGTGTGTGTGTGACTGTGTGTGCGTGTGCTGTGTGTGTGTGACTGTGTGTGACTGTGTGTGTGTGACTGTGTGTGCGTGTGACTGTGTGTGTGACTGTGTGTGCGTGTGCTGTGTGTGTGTGACTGTGTGTGCGTGTGACTGTGTGTGCGTGTGACTGTGTGTGTGTGACTGTGTGTGCGTGTGACTGTGTGTGTGTGTGACTGTGTGTGCGTGTGCTGTGTGTGTGTGACTGTGTGTGCGTGTGACTGTGTGTGACTGTGACTGTGTGCGTGTGACTGTGTGTGCGTGTGCTGTGTGTGTGTGACTGTGTGTGCGTGTGACTGTGTGTGCGTGTGCTGTGTGTGTGTGTGTGACTGTGTGCGTGTGACTGTGTGTGTGTGACTGCGTGTGTGACTGTGTGTGCGTGTGACTGTGTCACTGTGTGTGTGTGACTGTGTGTGCGTGTGACTGTGTGCGTGTGACTGTGCGTGTGTGTGACTGTGACTGCACGCGTAACGACAGTACAACTCCCGAAGCCGGTGAAATCACAGCTGCGGCACGCACTAGCGTGACTGCACACACGAAGCGCTGGCACCTCGACCACGCAGCAACACCGCTGGCGTTCATGATGGTGTGGCGACGATGATGGGTGTCTGCCGATGAAGACGTGTGATGACGATGATTACGACGACGATGCTGTAATGTCGTAGGACCCACCGCTGCTGGTAGGAGGGCAACCCCGACGAGGCTCCCCCTGGCCCCACCACCACGGCTCCTCCGGGCTCGACTCTCACGCCCTGAGAGGAGGAGGAGGAGGACCCCTCCGCCACCGTTGTCCGCCGTGGCGCGGCGTCGTCCGGGCCCCTCTCCTCCTCCTCCTGCTGCTGCTGCTGCCGCTCTCCCGCCGGGCTGTGCAAGCCGTGCTCCGGGAATATCCTGAGCATCCCTGCGCAGCGCAGCAGCCCCGGCGCGGATAGCGGCAACGGCGGAGGTAGCGAGCCTCGCACGGGCTGCCGTCGCTGCCGCACGCCGCTGCTGCTGCTGCTGCTGCGACGAGGTGAGGAGGAGCGACGAGGTGAGGAGGCGCTACAGAACGAGGAGGAGGACGACGATGATGATGATTTATGTGGAGGAGGAGGACGAGGATGGTGATGTTGGGCTGGATGAACGCACGGGCGAGGAGGAGTGTGTAAGGGATGAGGATACTGATGTTGATGAGGTTATGGGATGGTAGGATGGGGGAGATGTTGGAACGGGCTGACGACGATGATGACGTTAAGGAGGAGCTTGAGGAAGGGACGGGCGAGTAGGATGATGATGATGGTGACGAGCTGCTGGGACGTCTGGAAGAGGAAAGAGGGGGCGGAAGGGAATCAGCCGAGGAGTTGCTGGAGGAGCGGGCGATGAGGATGAGCAAGGAGCAGCCGGATGACAATGAGGAGCGGCCGTGCAACAGAAGAGGAGCGGCTGAGGAGACGGGCGAGCGAAGAGGAGGAGGACGAGGGGCGGGCAGCAACGATTAAGTTGGATGAGCGGCCGGGAGTGAATGAAGAAGGGTGCGAGATGGATGAGGAGGCGGTGGAGGAGAAGAAGGAGGTGGAGGAGCGGCTGCAAAGTAAGTTTGTGGAGGCGGACCGGGACGTGGGAGATCGGCTCTCGGGTTCGCATTAAGCGCGGAGGAGCCGAGGGGAGCCCACAGCAGCAGCTGATGCTGACTGCAGAGGAGGCGCGAGCAGGAGGAGGTGGAAGAGATGTAGATGGTGGTGGTGGTGGTGCAAGTGGTGGTGCTGCAAGTGGAGGTGGTTGTGGTGGTGGTGGTGGTGGCGGCTCGGGGCTGAGACAATCATCGCACGAGGAGGGGGCCACACGGGGAGCGATTCGGGCTGACAAATGTGGCTCTCGATCTCCACCTCTCCGCTTTCACTGCCTTAATTCGGACCTCTCGGTCATCCGGTCGCCTGTTTGAATTGAAAAGAGTGGGAGGAGGAGGAGGGAGGAGAGAGGAGGAGATGGGGGCGGGGGACTGGGCTCTGTCCGACCGCGCTCGCGTTTGCTGCTGATACTTATGCTGCTGATGCTGCTGAGTGTGCTGATGATGCTGCTGCTTGCTGCTCCTGAGTATGCTGCTGCTGCATGGTTGTTGATGTTAGCGGTGGTGCCAAGTCTGTAGATGCGGCTGTTACCGCTGCTGGTAGTTGTGTTGGTGGTGGTTGCTGTGCTGAGGTTGCGGTGGTACTGGTGGGGTTGATGGTTTTGCTTGTTGCTGCTGGTGTTACTGATGCTGCTGGACGCGTTGGTGGTGGTGCTAGTTGTGCTGATGTCGTCCACTCTGTTGATGCTACTGACGCTGCTGGCGATGGGATTATTGCTGCCATCCATGTTGTTACTGGTTGCTAGTTGTTGTGTTGGTGGGAGGTAGCTGTGATTGTGTTGCTGCTGCTGCTGTCAACGTTGGGACTGCTACTCCAGCTGGTGGCGGTTGTGTTGCTGGCGGTCGCCAGTCGTGCCGCTGTTGCTGATACTTCTGCTTGGTGTGCTGATGTGGTTGCTGCCACTGGTGGTGAAGTGACTGATGCGAATGAAGCTCATGACAATTAGTGTTATTGTTACGCGTGCTTTCGCAGGAGAGCCTCACTGATCCTCGTGGCTCGATTTCAGGAGGGTCCTGCCAAGTTTTTCGCTGCAAGATGCAATGGTCGCTGTCTGTGCGTGTGTGTGTTTCAGTTGAGTAATTTGCGGGTAATTGTTCAGATTTCGACCACGACGCCAGCACAGCAATAAACCTCCTCTTGCAAACGACGCCACGGGACCTTTAACGTTAACCGTGAAGCAGACGGGCGCGTAATTATGGTTGAAACACCCGCAGTGGTAACGAGGGCGGCCGCTGGGATACGAACCGTGATCCTCTGAAACCAGAAGCAAACGCACTACCGTTAGGTTATTGCCATCGCACCAGAGTGCTGCTGTGACTGCTGCCGATAGTGGTGGTTATACCGCTGCTGCTGCTCATGATGATGTTTCAGAATGACCGCTGCGGATGATGCTGATGTGGTCGACTTGCTGCTGGTGTTTGTAATGGGTCGTTCTGCTCCTTCTGATGCGATTCCAGCCAGGTGCCAATGCTACGATGGCTCGTTCATGTTATCGCTTATATCAATGCTCCACAATGACGCTAATTCATATTTTGAGTTGCGTTAAATATCAATATGCATTGAACTGAAACGCTGTATGTCGTCACCGGTTCAGTGTGCTTGCCTATCTTGACTCAAAGCTGCTGAAATTATGCACTCCCAGAAGGTTGTGAGGCTGATGGGTTATTTAAGAAATGCTGTTAAAATTACGTGGAGAGATGAATACGTGAAGAATACATGTCGCATTTATTTTGCTACTTTTAAGGGCTGTTAAATGTTTTTGCACTACCAGTAACTGAATGTAAAAAAGTGGTGCTTTGTGAGTGCATTGTTTAGATTTATAACATTGCACTGGAAACGGTTACTGGTTTTTTACTTCTGAAACCATTTATCAACTCTGAAAAGGTTACCGGTTTTGACTTCCAGAACCGTTTAATAACTCTGAAAAACGGTGACCGTTTTTTTTAACTTTCAGAACCGGTTATCAACTCAGAAAAAAACGGTGACCGGTTTACCGACTTGTCGTTATAACAACCCGAGCTACTGCTTCAAACTGCTGGTGATGCCCGTGGTCTTGATGATGATGGTGATGCCAATGGGCGACGGTGTTTTTTGATGATGGAACGAGCAGGGGCTGGCGAGATGAAGGGGAGGAGAGCGACGATGGAGTGGCCGGACTGCCCACACGTGTCTGTGTGTGCACCACGGGAGAGACACAGGCCGCCCGGGCGTGGTGCTAGCCACACCATCCCTCAAACTACCACCCCTCGCTAACAGCACTTTCCCCAAATGTCTGTTAACGGCTACGCAGGGAATCTGTGCATGAGCTGCCTATCTCCGTGTATGTCTTTGCGCATGGTTGCATGATTGTGTGTGTGTGCTTGTATCTATATACATGTGCGGCGTGAAAGCCTTGGCTTCTCGGGGAACATATCGGGCGGTTGTAGGGGGGGGGGGCTAAGGGAGAGAGAAAGAGAGAGGGGGGCGCAGGATGCGACGTCCGCTCACATTCCGTCACACGCAGCGGCTCTGCGGACGTGAGCCGCATGCGGGAAGGATTGGGGACATCACTCGTCGTCCCATCACGGGCAAGGGCCGATGCCCACGCCACCCCCCCCCCCCTGCCCGCTACAATAACTAAAAACAACAACAATAACATGGCAGAGTGTACGACAAGCACCGTGGGCCTCACGGTTGAGACGAGCGTGTCCGTAGTAGAGACGCGTTCTGGGGTTTGACCTGGCGATCAAAACGATAATTCACCCTCCCCGCCAACTCTCAATTGCACGTTGTTGCAATAACGTCGTTGAAATACATTTACAAAACAGCACAACACTAGCCTCCCGTTAAAAGTTTGGAAATGTACAAAGATGTGTTTTTGTATATCTCTGTCATCATACATTGACTATTATACTGGTAGGAACCTCCTGGTTACACCAGCCCACAGGGGATTATTGTGTCTGTCCGTCCGTCGTGCATCCAAAAATGGGAGGGGTGGGGCTGGGTGGAGAGGGGAGGGTGGGGAGGGGCTGGGTGGGAAGGGAGGGGCTGGGTGGGGTGGGGAGGGGCTGGGTGGGGAGGGGAGGGTGGGGAGGGGCTGGTGGGGAGGGTGGGGAGGGACTGGGTGGGGAGGGTGGCGCTCGATGGGGAGGGGCTGGTCACCCCGTGGTGCCCTTATAAAACTCAACGTTTAACCTACTCACGCCGGCTTGTGCCCACCCTCACAGTCGGGCATATTGTGCGGAATACACCACGTGGTGGTGCCGCCGTTGACCCTGGCCATTGACCGAGCAACCCAACATTCCTACCAGCTCACTCCTCAGGAATGTGTTTGATGACGAGCAACTTTGTACCCGTGTCACGCGGCCACGGGAATGGGAGTCAGCGATGTCGAGCGTGGGGCAATTTGTAAGGGAAGAGAGAAGAGGGGGCACGGGAAGAGGACAACGACGGAAATGGACGGAGAAGCAGGAGCACTGGGCCACGAGAGATGAGGCCTTGACGCTGCTGTAAGCCGGAGCGGCGTCTGTTTCCACAGCGGGCGGAGGGGAGGGGCACAGAGTGGGAGAGGCTTGAGCTGATTTTAATAAGTATCTAAGTATGTTACTCAATAGCTACTATTAACTGACTGTGATGTTTCCATCCTACCTGCCTATGTCAGCTGTTATTTTATGCTAATCTCTCACATTAACATAGCCACTTTCGTGCCCAGTTACATGCTAATACCTCACATTAACATCATGCTAATCTCTCACATTAACATAGCCACTTTCGTACCCAGTTACATGCTAATTCCTCACATTAACATCACTAGACCCAGCCACTTCTTTATGACCCTTGGGCTACACCCATTTCAAACCTTTTAAAAACAGTCTGCATCAGCAGCAGACCATGCTTTCCCACCTGATGACGGACGCTTGTGGTTATTTTTCATCTACGTGACTTTACCGAAAGAACCAGTCACGAAAACTTCACATCTAGAATGAAACTACTATTAGTTTACGGTTCATATGCCAATTTTAAAAAAAATTCTGCTAATCTTTTTTTTTTACATATAAATGTATTCATACATAGCGTAAAGTACATGCTCCCATGCGTATTATTATTTTACACTCTCTCGTCTCTCTTAAGTGCTAAGCAAGGAGGGCCATCATCCAAAACGTCACTTATAATATGTTTATTTTAAGGCCACAGTGCTATTGACAAACGTTAATTTGTTTTGTTGTTAATATGGCTGCGTTTCAGTATTTGGTCATTTCGGTCATACTGAAATCAAAACATCAGGATCAAATTACTGCAATACATCAGTGGTGTATCCATCCTGTGTATTTATTGCTGCATTGGGAAATATGTTGTCTTTATTTGGCAGCATGAGATGATAGATATTCAAACGCACAACACTGAATTTAGTTACACTTTTAATGAACGTGGATTTGAATTATAATTATGGCAAAAGTTAATTAAGTCTAACC